CGCCCCCCCGGCCTACTACTATTTCTCTTCGTTTGGTGGTGACTTTTCGCTATTTCTACGGTGTTTTCGCTGACTGCGGCGCGGGAGTGTTTTTTAATAATAATTTGTGCTCATCTTACGGAACGGACAACAAGTTTCCCCCCAGCCGAACATTTGGTCCTTCGAGCCGGATTTGTGGATTTTTGGATTTCCGGATTTTATTGGATTTTGGATTTTTTCTGGATTCCGGATTTTTCAACCCCTCACCAGCAGTTCTCGGCGTTTCTTATTTCCCAAGATAAGTACGAACTATTCCGTCGCCCCCTCACTTACGGTCTTCAGCAGTAGTCCGAACAATTAATTTCGGTCACTCTGATGCAAGATTAATTTTCCGTGTCGACTCCAAGAGCGAGTTTTCCTGACAACGGCAGTTGAGGAATTTTCCATTTCCTATTTTCCATTTCATAAAATTGGCAAATTTTTTCAATCCGTCTCCGTTTTAAACGTCGCCATATTCTTTTTCGTCCGCTTTCCTCTATACATATTAGCATTTATCCGTACATCAATGTACAAAACGGTTCCGACACAAGAATAAAAATTACATACATATGTCCATACATATCGGCTTACTTTATTAAGCACGATAGAAAATAAAATTCCATAATAAAAAATTACTAATAATCAAAATACAGTCCGCTATCATCCATATATGTATATACATAAATATTATTATATTATTAATCCAGATTATATTTTCTCCATATAATATATATATTACACATTATATTTTCATCCCCATACACATATGTACATACATTCCACATACAGTTACATACAACATTTTAAAACCAAGAAAATAAAAACATAATAAATAAAGAATAAAATATTAAAACAAAATTTGTAAGCCAGTGTCCGTCTTTTTTCTGCATTTATTGGTGCGCCTTATATTGTTCCGCTGCCGACGCGACATCTATATACATACATAACCAAGAGCTTTACATTCTTTACAACGAACATTGAGTTGAGAAAAAAAGGTGTCAGGTGTTCCGATCCCACCATTCCGATCGAATTATTTTTTCCTTATAATTAATATTTTTATTAATTAATAATTAATCAATTAATTGCTCATTTAATACTTTCCAATTAATATTGGCTCCACTACAAATAATTTTTCCATTCTCGTCGCATTTGCTCCAACTGATAGTGAGTCCGCTACACATATTTTCGGTTATCGTCGCTTCTACGTCAAGTAAATTTTTTCCAGTTTATTTACTTGCAATTCTGAGATTGGTTAATTCCACCATCCACCATCTACCATCCGAGTTCTACGGCATATTCCTGCCATCCATATTCACCACGTTTTTACCGTCTCACATTTCTACTTCGGCGTTTTAGTTGACGGTATTGACCACAACTAAGTCTAACATTCGAATTCTACGGCATATTCTTGCCAATCCAATCCAAAAAAAATGTCGGAAGGACAAGAACCAATTCCGCAAGACGCGAGTCAGAAGAGGGAGGCAGCGCAGTTAGCGCCTCCAATAGATGGAAGTCAAAGGCGGGAACCGAGTCCGAGAAACACGGGCGCGGGACCGGCAAGTAATTTGAGATCCAAAGCCAAGAGCACTTTAGACGTTATTTTGCTTGAGTTCATAGCAACTAGTGACCGTCTTAGCAAATTTGAAAGCCAGATATTTACGGCATCCTCTTCCGAGCCTAGCTTGTTTACCTTAAAGATCCGTCTGGATCAGATACAATCCTTATGGGAAAAGGTTGAACGGGAGTATGAAACCGCTTCCAAAGCAGCTCTTCGCGAAGGAGGTAGCGGAAATCTTCCGTTACTGCAAAACAAATATGAGCACTGCTATGCGGTGTTCGAAAGATGTGCTGCGAAACTAAATGAAGACATCGACCGTATGTCCGCCCCCGCTTCAGGATCGCTTTGAAAATAAGCGATTGTTGGTAAACAGCCAATTAAAAATCCTGTTTAGTCTTCCGACCCAAAGCAGTGAATCAGGCACGGCCTTGAAAGATCTACAGAGCACAATCCAAGGGTGCTTGATAGCCCTCGAGCATTCACAAATTTCCACGGAAAATTGGGACTGCCTTCTAATTTTTCTAATCTCCTCCAAGTTGCCGAAGGTCACTCTCTCGTTGTGGGAGCAGTCCTTGACCAATAAGTCCGCGATCCCAGCCTGGGAAGAAATGAATTCCTTTCTCGAGGAGAGATATCGGACGTTAGAAGCAATTGAGGATGTCCGACCCAATTCTTCCAGCACACAACATTCAAGGGAGCCCAGAAGTGCACAGTCAAGGAGGGTAAATACCTTCGAGACACAAGTCGGGCCACGCGCACGATTTTGTGATCTCTGCTCCAGAGAGCCTCATCCAGTTCGGCTTTGTCCTCGTTTTTTGCAGATGACTCAACCACAAAGAGCATCATATATTAAACAAAAGAGACTGTGCCTTAATTGCTTTGCAAGGGGACATAATCTTCGTGAATGCCCGAGCAGGCATAGTTGCTTCACATGCAGGGGACGGCATAATACGCTCTTGCACAAAGATACTCCGTCTAACGCTGTTAGCACAGCGCCGGCTCACCCTCCAGAGCAGCCAATCTCAAACACGTCGGTTCATTTCGCCTCTAACCAACAAGGAGTACTTCTAGGTACGGCCATAGTTCATGTGAGCCACCGAGGAGAGAATTTTCCAGCACGTGCCCTGATAGATTCAGGCTCCGAAGGCACTTTCATTTCAGAGAGGCTTGCCAACCGGATTAAACTTACATTTCAAGCCGTAACAACGAGAGTCACAGGGCTCAACCAAGCCAATTCCGGTGTCTCACAAAAAAATGTGTCATTTCCAGATGGGCACTCCGGCCAAACCTATGCTCAAGATCGACACGACGGCGTTTGTGCTGCCGAACCTGGCCGGCAATCTTCCGACAAGCACAATTGATCGAAACATTCTTGATAGGCTGTCAAATATGCCATTGGCAGATCCGTCGTTTTTCCAGCCGTCTCAGATAGACCTTCTTCTAGGTGCGGATATTCTTCCGTCTGTCCTGCTATCGGGCTGGAGGCCAAACGTATGTGGGTCTTTATTAGCGCAAGAGACCATTTTCGGGTGGATTTTGACCGGCCCATTGTCTTCAACCACTAGTAGGGTTTCGTCTTTTACCACACAGATATCCATAGAGTCCGAAGCAACCATGGAAACACTTCTCACAAAATTTTGGGAGGTGGAGGACCTTTCATGTAGACTGGAAAAGGAGACGGACAAGTTGTGTGAAGACTTTTTCGTCCGAACAACTACCAGATCCTGCGACGGGGAAATATATAGTATCCCTGCCCTTCAAAGATTCAGAGCACATTGACTTGGGGCATTCCAGGAGTTCCGCACTCGCACAGTTTCTGAGGAATGAGACTCGCTTGAAGAAGGAGCCCGCTCTCAAAGACACTTATAACTCAGTGATCCAAGAATATATCGATCTTGGACATATGAAGCCGGTGCCTCCGAATACCGACAAGATAAATTTCTATCTCCCCCATCATGCAGTATTTAAGCCCGAAAGTGCGACCACGAAAGTTCGCGTAGTTTTCAACGCATCCAGTCCTTCTTCCAATGGGAACAGCCTTAATGACATTCTGTATCCAGGGCCAGTACTGCAGTCCGATCTCACTCTTCAAATCCTGAAGTGGCGGACGTTTAAATTCGTTTTCAATGCCGACATCACCAAGATGTATCGGCAAATTCTCCTAAACCAAGAGCACACTCCGTTTCAGAGAATTCTCTTTCGAAATGGCCAAGGGGATATATCCGACTTCGAGCTTCAGACGGTCACGTTTGGAGTGAATTGTGCCCCTTTCCTGGCCCTACGAACACTGCAACAATTGTCCGACAATGTCAACGCCCAATATCCACGGGCGTCGCATATAATTTTAAATTATATGTATGTCGACGATGTGCTAGCAGGAGCCCATACAGAGGCTGAAGCTATTTTAGCCATTGGGGAGCTGCAAGCAGCTCTGGACTCAGCTGGATTCCCTCTCCGCAAGTGGACATCGAATGAACGTGCACTCCTTAAAGCACTTCCTAAAGAGCATCTACTTTCGACTGATTTTCTTGATCTCGAAGAGGTCAGCACCACTAAGACATTGGGAGTACGGTGGAACGCTAAGACGGATGAGTTCTATTTTGTCCCAACAGAGGTCACCATTCAGGCAAACTATTCGAAACGCGACGTCTTATCCCAAATCGCGAAATTGTTCGACCCAGCTGGGTGGCTCTCCCCATTTGTGGTTCAGGCCAAAATCCTGATGCAGGATATCTGGTTAGCCAGTGTCGAATGGGATGAGTTTCTTCCTGCAGAACTACTACATCGCAGGCATGATTTCCTTCGGAGCTACAGTTTCCTCCACCAAGTTCGCATCCCGCGTTGGGTACAATTTCAACCGGGAGTACAAGTCCAAATCCATGGTTTCTGTGATGCTTCCCAAAAGGCTTATGGCGCAGCGATTTACGTTCGCATCCAGCGTGATGGAATCATTTCATCAAATCTTCTAACGTCAAAGACCAAGGTCGCTCCGGTAAAAACCGTCTCGCTCCCGCGTCTAGAACTGTGTGGAGCCGTCCTTCTGGCAGACTTGTGGACTGCAATTCTGCCTCAGATTCCTGTCGGTCGTATAGAATCTTTTCTATGGACTGATTCCACTATTGTGCTGGCATGGTTGAACAAGCCACCATGTCAGTGGACGACCTTCGTCGCAAATAGAGTCACAAAAATCGCTCAAAATACTGATGCCAGCCAGTGGTCTCACGTGCGTTCCGAGCACAACCCAGCAGATCTAGCCAGTCGTGGAGTAGCGGCTGAAGAGTTAGCTACCAGTGAGCTATGGTGGCATGGGCCTTCATGGCTAACTCAGCCACAAGACTCCTGGCCTGCACCTTATGAATCAGTTTCCGACATCGACATCGAGAAGCGACCCATACGTTGCCATTTAGCATGCCCGGAGCAGTACATGCTTGAGCGGTTCTCCAAGCTCGATAAGGCACTACGAGTTTTCGCTTATGTTCAGCGCTTCATCCAGCGCTCGCAAAAACGACCTATTCCAGGCGAGCTGCAGCTATCCAATACAGAGATTTCCACAGCTGAGCGACTCCTAATTTTCATAACACAGCGCAGATACTTTGCGCTTGAATATGCCTGCCTGAGCCAAAAGCGGCCAATTCCAGCATCCAGTTCTATTAAGAACATGAATCCCTTCCTTGATCCTCACGGCCTCATCAGGGCGTGTGGTCGGGTGACGGCCTCCGAAGTCCTCCAATATGATGAACGGCATCCGATCTTTCTTCCATACAACTGTCAGTTGGCGCGTCTCCTTGTATCCTTTACGCATCGCATCTCCTTGCACGGCGGTAATCAGCTAATGGTACGCCTGATCCGCTCAAAATTCTGGATACCAAGGGTCAAGAACTTAGTCAAGTCTGTAATTTTCTCCTGCAAAATATGTGTGATCCACAAAAAGAAGTTGCAGACCCAACTCATGGGCGAATTACCAAAAGAAAGAACGTCCTTTTCGCGGCCTTTTACGTACACGGGCATGGATTATGCCGGACCGTTTGATATAAAGAACTACACCGGGAGAGCCTGCCTGATTACCAAGGGCTATGTGCTGGTGTTTGTATGTTTCTCCACGAAGGCCATCCATTTAGAGCCTACTTCGGACCTCACAACAGAGAAATTTCTCGCAGCATTCGCCCGATTCGTCTCGCGAAGAGGGTGCCCTCGACAAGTTCAATCAGACAATTGGAAGACCTTTGTTGGTGCAGCCGCAGTGCTGTCGCGTGAATTTCTGCAAGCGGTCAAGGAATCCGTGACGAATGCTTATAGTCACCAGGAACTCCTGTGGCAATTCATACCACCAGGAGCCCCGCACATGGGAGGATTATGGGAAGCTGGAGTTAAAAGCTTCAAGACGCTGTTTTATAAATCCACAGCCACTCGAAAGTATACGTTCGAAGAACTTTCCACATTGCTGGCCAAGATTGAGGCCTGTCTAAATTCGCGTCCACTCGCCCCGATGTCCGAAGACCCCACAGACTTGTTAGCACTCACGCCAGGTCATTTTCTCGTAGGTGGACCCCTTCTCGCCACCGTCGAACCCGAAATTAAGGGTGCGTCCACTTCTATTATCAACCGGTGGCAGCACCTTAAGGCCCTTCATCAGCAATTCCGCCTGAGATGGAAGGAAGAGTACCTCAAGGAGCTCCACAAGCGAACAAAGTGGAAAGTCCCCACCAGAAATCTCGAGGTGGGCGAGATGGTTATAATCAAGGACGATAATCTGCCACCCAATGAGTGGCGGCTCGGCAGATTGACTCCGTGTTTCCCGGACCCGATGGTCATGTCCGAGTAGTGAATATTCGTACTGCTCGGGGAATCGTTAAGCGCCCTGTCGCAAAAGTCGTATTGCTTCCGGGGGCGACCTCCGAAAAATCTCAATAACTAGCCGTATCCTCACTCCGTAGTTTGCTTCTTTCGCTAGTTCTAAGTCATATTTTCGACTCCATACTAATTCTTTTTTTTTTTGTATCCTACTCCAGATTATAAACAATGTTCCCACGTCTACGTAGCGCCGTCGAAATGGAGAGCAGACGTACACGAGGTACAAATTCCTACCGTTGCCGAGTCTGCCACGGAGTCCACCGCAACGGAGAGCACCACACACTGCTGCATATGCAGGAGCAGCCGCTGTATTTACGTCGTTCGCGTCAGTTGACGCCGCCCTCTCGTCGCGCTCGAGCTTCTGCTCACCACGCTTCGACCTCTCCTCACCACGCTTCGGGTGTGTGTGAAGTCGCGGTGAACGGACGCCCGCGCGGGCGCTCCGGCTAAGTCTCGTGCTGTGGCAGTGCCCCTAGGGGGAAAAAGTGGTAGCAGTGCGCGGGATGCAGGATGAGGGCTGTCTCCAGACTTACCTGTCGAGGCACGGCTCCTGCGGTCCGCGGAGGGCACTTTCTGTGCCCCTATGCTCCGGTGAGATGGTCGACGGCCAGGGGGAAGGGGGGGATCTTTTCTTCCGAAACTTTCTCTTTTATCTCTTTAGTTGCCGCCCTCTCTTTGTGGGCCAAAATGTGGATGCCTCCACATATTTGTGCTGGTCACGCCAGCTGACTGCTCGATCAGCTGGCGTGCAGTGTAGTGAAGCGAGCGCAATGCAGCTGTGTGGCAGCACTGCAGCGCCGATGCACTATACATGCGCACATTAGCGCCACCTATGGTGTAAAAAACCCCGGCACGTGACAGAAGCTGCTTGCTACAAGCTTCAGCTAACGATCGCTGCGGAATCCGTAGCATATATTCCCGGGCTGCTGCCCGAAGTCCTTGGCAAGGAGTCGGAATTTGGCCATGTTCCGTCGGAATTGAGGTTCGCACACGTTGCCAAATGGTGGAAAAGGTCACGGATCCGACCGACTGCCATCCCCTCCGCCCTGGCGGTACACCCAAAAAGGGGCTCTGGCGACCGAGGCGGGGCGGTATAACCCCCATCAGTTAGAAGTCGGAGGGAAATATTCGACCAGCGAGGGAGGCTCCGTGTCGTCCCGACCTGGTGGAAGTGACCGCCACACCCAATCGACTTAATCCACGCAGCGTCTGCCCATACTGGGCGGCTGCGTGATCTGCGTCTGCGCCATAGTGGCCGGCAGTGGAACTAACCTGGCAGCAGGTATCAGCTGCACACTAACCCAAACCCAGGTAGCGTCTGACCCACATTGGGCGGCTACTTGGTCTGCGTCTGTGCCATAGTGGCCGGCAGTTTATTACCCACCTGGCAGAAGGTATAAAATGCAGCCCCCGCATTGGGCAATAATGCGCAAAAAAGGAATGTCGAGTAATAACAATACTACTCCAGGTGGCAGCCACAAATGTGGAAATCCACCCGCGGTTGATCCCGCGGCAAGGGCACGGATTCTGGAGGCCCTAATCCACATTCCAACCCACACTGCAGCTCCGGCGGCCCACTTGGCCGGTGCTCTTTCAACAGCGACAAGTGAAGATGGAAACGACTTGGGAGCCTTTCAAAGGCGGTCCAAGCTGCAGCGAACCCCACCTAGCGGAGGCCCTACGGCGTCTGGCCAAGACTCTGAGATAGCCCTGGAGCCAATCGGTCGGGAGACGAGTTCGTCGACCCCACACACCAAGAGAGTAAGAGACTCCCCTAGCCCCCCTGTGACGGCCCACCCACGGAAGAAGATCAAGGCGCCCAATCCGCAGATTAAAGAGATGGGCCAGATCCTGGATGACTTGTTAGCCAAGGTTAACGAGCAGAAAGTCCGAAGCATAAACCAGGCCATGAAGAATGCCTTTGCGCGACTAAAGGAGCTCCAGGAGGAGATTTCGCTGCTAGAGGGGAAGGATAGGGATGATGGCGTTGCCATCGGAGTTGCTGACCAGTGGAGCCAGACCGCGCCACCGATGACCCGGGCCCAGCCCACGGCGGAGAAAGCTGCTCAGACTTCTCCAAAAGGTCGTCCCCGTCCCGCCAGCCGTAACCCCGGTGTGGCCCCCACCGGTCGCACAAACACGCGCCCCCCACCCAGGGTTCCCACCCAAAACGCCGAAAGAGCGCAGAAGCTGGGCGACTGCGATTCCGGCCCGAAGACAAGGGCCGCGACCAAGCGCCGAGAGGGCCGAAAGCGGGGCAGAAATGATGCGATCATCATAACCCCCGCGGCAGAGATGTCCTATAGCGAGGTCCTCAACATGGTCACGCGCACCCATGACTCCAGAATGGCAGGAGTCGGCGACAAGGTGACCAGAGTACGAAAAACGGCGAAGGGCGAGCTCTTAATCGAGCTGAAAAAGTCCTCTGGAGCTTCCCTTACCGCTCTGAAGGAGCAGATTGGGTGTGTGATAGGCGGAAGCTTGCCGATCCGCACTGTGTCACCGCAGACCACATTCCTAATCCGGGACCTGGACGAGCTGGTAACCAGGGAGGAGCTTGCGGCAGAGCTCGCCTCACAGGCTAATCTTCCACCTGGCTCCGTTTCACTTAAGAGCATCCGCTCCCTCGCTAGTGGAGGCCAGGTGGCAACTTTCTCGGTCGCAGAGACAATGGCTGGTTCCATAAATAGTCTCGGGAAGGTGAAAGTCGGTTGGACGAGGTGCCGCATCAAGATGGTGGAATCCCGCCCCAGATGCTTCCGCTGCATGGAGCCAGGGCATATAGCGGCCAGATGCACCAGCTCCTACGACAGGAGCAGCTCCTGCTTCAGGTGTGGGCAGGAGGGCCATAAAATAGCCGCCTGCAACAACAGTCCGCGCTGCTTTAGATGCGCCGAGGCAAAGGGTAGCGACACGAAACACCAGGCGGGCAGCCGCCACTGCCCCCTGGTGACGTCGCGTAGTGCAGCCAGAACGAAAAGGGCATGATAGTGGTTCAACTGAATCTGAACCACTGTGCGGCAGCACAGGACTTGCTGTCGCAATCGGTCCGAGAACGCGGTGCCGATATTGCCGCTATGAGCGAGCCATATAGGGTAGGCCCTGGACCATACTGGGCGGTGGACAGCTCTGGCAAAGCTGCTCTGTGGTCATGCGGCATTACACCCAAGAGAATGGCGGACGTTCGCTCGGAGAGAGGCTTCGTGCGTGCCAGGGTGGCAGGCTGGTGGATGTTCAGCGTCTATCTGGCTCCGAGCATGTCTCTGGAGGAGTTTGGGGACGCCGTGGATCGGCTGGCCACAGACGCAAGGTGTCACACTCCGTGCCTTATAGCCGGAGACTTCAACGCCTGGGCGGTGGACTGGGGCAGCTGCCTCACCAACGCCAGAGGCAGGACCCTCCTCGAGGCGTTTTCAACACTCGACGTCGCACTCCTCAACACCGGGGCACAGCCCACCTTCAGCAGAGCCGGGGCGAGCTCGGTGGTCGACCTCACGTTTGTGAGCTGCTCCAGGGCTAGCCAGTGTACCTGGGCCCTGAGCGATGTCTATACGGGGAGCGACCACGCGGCGATCCTCACCGAGCTGGACACAGAGCGATCGCAGCCCACACCACTGCCCCCCAAGCACGTAGGGGATACAAGGCCGATACTCTGGACATCCAATCCTTCGCAGAGCATATGCAGGGGATGGAAGCAATTGGCTCTGCAGAGCAGATGGCGGAATCTGCCATGATCCAATTGCAGGCCGCATGCGACGACTGCATGGCTGCCAAGCGCGCCCACTCTCGTCACAGGGACTCTGTGTATTGGTGGAACGAGACGATCGCCGCGGCCAGAACGGAGTGCATCAAGGCGAGGCGCCGGTATCAGCGCTCCTACCGCTCGAGCTCCCACCTGGAGAGGCGGCTAGAGTTCCATAGATGCCGCAAGGCTCTCAAGGCGGCAATCCGGGCAAGCAAAACCAAATGCTTCCTAGAACTTTGCGACACCGCTGACCACGATCCCTGGGGAAACGCCTACAGGATCATAGTCAAGAAGATCCATGGGGCAAAACAGGGCGCCCCTCACGACGCAGAGAGCATCGACAGGATAGTCGAACATCTGTTCCCGAAGACGGATAACCCCAGAGACACGCTGGAGACTGCGATGCACTCGTTGGAAGGGTTCGAGCCAGTCCTGGAGACGGAAATCCTGGCGGCGGCGATGAGAATCAGGGAGGCGAAAGCCCCTGGCCCTGACCTGGTTCCCAACAGAGCCCTGAAACTGGCTCTCTCGCTTCGCCCGGACTTATTCGCGGACCTGTATGAAAGGTGCCTCAGAGAAGGTATATTTCCTGGGAGATGGAAGGTCCAGAGGCTGGTCCTGCTCCCGAAACCAGGAAAGCCACCTGAAGACCCATCCGCCTACAGACCAATCTGTCTGATTGATGGGGCAGGCAAGGTTCTGGAGCAATTGATCCGGACGAGACTTGAGAAGGCCATTGCCGCATCCGGCGATCTATCTGACTCCCAGTTCGGATTTAGGAAGGCTAAGTCGACGGTGGATGCCATCTCCAAAGTGGTGGGCATCGCAAAAGCAGCCATTGCGGGGCATCGGTGGAAAGGAGGCGCGAAGGAGTACTGCCTGATAGCCACGCTCGACATCCGTAACGCCTTCAACACGGCGAGATGGGGATGTATACTGGATGCTCTATCCAGCTTCGGGGTACCCCTGTACCTCCTGGAGTTGCTGAAGAGCTACTTTAGAGGCAGAACCCTGGTGTACGACTCCGATGGCGGTGTCAGATCCACAGAGCTTTCCTGCGGAGTTCCGCAAGGGTCGGTCCTGGCACCGCTGTTGTGGAACGCCATGTACGATGGTGTTCTGCGTCTCCCGCTCCCAGGTCGGACCGAGCTGGTGGGCTTCGCCGACGATATAGCTGTAGTCGCAGTCGACAAATATCTCGCAGGGGCCGAAGAGCTGTGCGACAG